GTTAGTAAGGAAGGGAGGCCGGGAGGTGTGATCATTTCAACCCGCTCTATAATCTCATATTCAAAAACAGAAAAACGTCCGACCTTAGCTCGATCAGTTGGTAGAGCGGACTGTAGTTGGATTTTTCGCTGCTTCTAATCCGGCAGGTCGGAGTTCTTATTTTATTTTCGTAATCGATTTTCTTCTTTCTATGCCTTTTGATTTTATTTTTTCATTCCTCATAAAGCTTTCTCCTTCCTTTCTGTCTCTACTTCTTGGCTTCGCAGCGTACGTTGTACTCACTCGCGAAAAATATTCAACTCCCTTGATGGTAAGCGGATTTTCGGTTTAAGTGTCACGTCTTTTGCTTCTATTTGGGAGAGTTTCATGCGATCAGACCCTGGGATGTAGGGTTTCATTGATAGAAGTCTTTGTCACAAATGACCTATATTGCTGTAGTTTACTTGCATTTATGTCACCAGTCTATAATCGTACTTTGGCTTACACTATGCCGAAGCCAGAATTGATTCTATGCCTTTTTTTTTATCGTTTTATGAGCTACCAATTTATAATTATAATCTTATATGGATTACTTAATATATACGCCCATTTTTATTTGATTTTATTGTTTTTCTTCTATCATTTGGGTGGATATTCCAGGCAAATACGTTGAGGCCTTACTTAACATGCATACGAAACACTCTAGAGGCTGCCCTGTGTTTGCAGGTATGCATAATTTTGCAATTACGGATGTTGGTTGTAAAAYAAGAATCTGGTTCTGGGACATTTGTTTTCCTCCATTTGACACCAAAATGTTAACTAGATATGCTGGATCATTACTGTTTAGTTTGGAATATGAAATGCTGACTTAATTCTTGTTGGGGAACCAAATGATGTTAGCTTGAGGTGGCGGAACGGGTTAACGTGGATATATGACCGGCCAAGCTCACCATCTGGCCATATTTGGGTTAACCCATCATAACTGGAGTTAATCATGATTATAGTTCGGTTAGAACTGATTTACTCATTTACATGCTGAAAACAATTCTTTGCCACCCTCATTTGGGTATGGATTTTGGTTGACTCATTAGAAGTTCTTTCTGGTTAATTGGTTGGGTGGGATAGCTCCAACTATATCAAACTTACCATATCAGGTTTGCTTAGTTGTGTCCTAGCACTTGCCAAATGTGAATGCCTTTGATCACTATCTTTGCATAACCTTGAATTCTTCATTGTGTTTCTTTTTTTCCATAGAATTTAAGAGAAGGAATCATAAAATGTCCTTATAGTGGAGTGGATCCTTTGGTCCCTATTGCATCCTTTGTTCTATGGGCACAAAAACATGTGTTTAGGAGGCTTACAAGTTGGTTGTATAGTGTCAAGATTGTTCCATTGTTTTCTATGCATCCTTTGGCTCCTCTTGCATCCTTTCCATTTTGCTCCTTGTTGTTTACTTTTTTTTTTGTGATGTTTCTGTATCAATGAGTGCGGCTGCACCTCGTGCCTCATATTGGGATGCTTGTAACGAACTATTTATCATTTGTTTCTAGTGAAATCAATTGATTTTTATCTATCAAAAAAAAAAAAAAACATTTTCACCTATTGATAAATATTTTGGTTATTTTTTGCATGATCTTATGATACCTTTGCCTTTTTGGCTTTAGAATTTTTTGGGTAGTAGTGCTCCATTGGTTTTGTTGTGGAGAATGGTGCTGTTCATGGTATGCCATGGGATTTGAAAAGATTTAACAGAAGGTTTGATAGAAATATCGTCTTTAGAGTTGGATTTGATACTTTGTTTTACTCTGCCTGTTGGTTTTGGATAATATGACTGCATTACTACATTTGGTTTCATGGAAACTCCCATACAATCATTTAGTTTGATTTTTAACATTATAAAGCTGAATGGGTTCATACTGTTTGGGTGCAGAACTTCCCCTGTCAAGAAGTTGAGAGGCACAACAAACCAGAGGTTGAGCTGAAGTAAGTTTTCTGGTTGTGATTCGACATTTTTTTTTTTTATCAAAAGTCGTGATTGGACTTTTATTAGGGCATTTATCTGTATTGTATTGCTACTCATAAAGTTTCAATCATCGTCTCTAGGACATGATAAAGTGACAGGACTGAAGGAGAAACCAAGGAAGTTGTCAATTAAGCATAAAGAAAGAAAAAGAAATCTCGGACAGCTCAGAAGCTTGTTTTACTTTCTATAACTTAGGCTTTAGATTCAATCTTCCATAAATAAGTGTTCTGTAAATTTAAATTTTCCATATTCATGCAAGTAATTCAGGGAAAGAAAAGTTCATTGCAAATTTTCATATGCATACTAATTCAGAATAAAAACGATTCTTTGAAGTAAATTACTTGTATTCATTTTTTTCCTTTTCTAACCTAGCCTTAATGAGCCTTGTCACTGTTACAATTAGTGTGTGGTGGAGTGGGATGTTTTAACATGCAGAGGCATGACCCAAAAAGCAAGTGTTATCTGTCATCAATAGGTCACTTGCACCCCAAAAAATAGATAAATAAATAAATAAATAAACATAGCAAGTACCCCAAAAAATAGAAGATATTTGAGAAATAGAAATTTCATATATGCAACTTCTAATAATAAAACCATTGTATTCAATAAAATTGAAGTATCTCCACATGAAGTGTCATAATCCATAATTATATAAGTGTTATCTGTTTTTTTTTTTTTTTTTATAATTGAAATATAATTTCATTAATCAAAGAAGTATACAAGTGTTATCTGTCATCAATAGATCACTTGTAAAGTTGCAAATCAAATTTTCAGAATTAACAATTCCCATTAATTGCACAATATTAACATAAACAAGTATGTCATCTCATAGTCAAATGAATGTAAGGCATTTAAATCAATCAAAGGATTCAAAGCAATGGTACTTACACTTCTATTCATAGTATTTCATTATAAATATTAYAATAAACAAGTTTGGAGGGTTTTGCTCCTTTGTATTATGTTAACATGTAATGGGGAGCACAATAATAGTTCCCCTGCTTCTATTTTCAAAATTTTTAGAAATCATACATGAAAAGCAAGAAAATACAACAATTCGGTGCGAAGACTCTAACACTTTAGATAAGAACTCTAAACATCTCAGGAATCTTACATGTGGCAATGTAGGTTTCGCCTAAATAGAATTCCACATGTTTGTCTCCTAAATCCTTATTTATGGGAGAAGTTTAAGCTGAAAAGAGCTAACCATGTGTCTAAGATAAGCCCATTATTTGGCAGTTTTTAAATTAAAAAACTGAAACCTTGAATGGCTAATATTATTTGGGGAAAACCACATGGGGTTGATGTGGATGATGAGATTGAACATATGGGCGAGTGAGGATCCCTTATTGGATGGACTTTTAGGCTTGGCCGTTGGCCACATAATCCCTCAACATGACAGCAATAAGATGTCTAGGGAAGGTCCCTGCTTGTCCTGACTATGAAATTAAAACTTGTAATGTGTTGGCCAGATAATCCTGCCACATGGAAGCAGCATAATCAGCTAACTGGGAATTAAAACTCTTAAGAGGATTTCTAAAAGACAAGTATAGATTTGTTTATTGAAAGACAGTAATGTAAAATGTAGAATAAAAAAAATGCATTTTGGGTATACAGGTCTACCAATAGTCTTCCAGACAGTTTGGCAAAACAAGGAGCAATAAGAGAGCAAATRTTTTGGGGTTATGTCTAAGAGGTTTTTTGTAATTACTAATTAGTGGGTTCAGGGGTGGTGGTTAGCTGAGGCTAGCTGCCCTATTTCTACTTTGTAACTTGTTTCTTGTAAAGTGAAGAGTGAGGACTGTCATTATTTGCTAATATCTTGCTCTTTTACTGCCAGTATTTGGAACTGGGTTATGTTATTTGGGTGCAGGTGGAACTTGCCCTCTGAAGTAAATCTGCTATTTATTCCGTCTGTCTTTGGGAGATTGACAAAGCAGCTAGCTTGCTGAAGTAAAGGAGTGTATATTGACAAGGTCTACCTCTTGGCTGAAATCTTCAGACTTGTTTGTGGATTACTCTTTTGATGATTTAAGGAGAAATTGGGCAGCAGTGGCATTCACAGCCTCCACAAAGAACAGACTGCAGGCAGAATGGAAACCCCCTCTGGAAGGAATGGTAAAATTGAATTTTGACGGAAGCAGTCAAGGAAATCCAGGGCCCTCGGGCATAGGAGGGATTCTGAGACATAAAGACTGCAACATCCTATCTTTATTATTCTCAGGACCAGCAGGTGTTGGTGATTCTATAATGGCCAAGATACTAGCAGTGGAGGAATACAGGCTGCTAGTCAACTTGGAGTGGAAAAATTGATAGTTGAGGGGGACTCCGAGGTGGTKGTGGGTTGGCTAACAAATCCAGGCACAGTCTTTTGGGGTTACAGGCATAGTTTTCAAGGCGCCAAGGCGGGGCTAGGTGACAGGGGGGGTGCCTTGTCGCCTAGGCAGGTGCATAGGCGATGGATTTTTTTTAAGTAAAAATCACATATCCTAGGGTAGTTCCCTAGGTTCCATAACCAACTTTCTTTAATAACTATCCATAGTTTTCATAAGAAAATTGTAAAGTTCATGTTAAGTCTAGAAAATCAACATATTTTTGAGAAGAAAAACAAGAAAGGAAAGAAAATTCAAAAAATATAGGGGCTGAACCCCTATTTTTGTTATAGGAAAAGAAGTGGAAGAAGAAATGTGTTGATTAGACAAAATCTTAAATTCTTCCCTTGCTTATTGGTTCAGATTTTGAAGTCATTGAGGGTTCAATACAGCAGTTAGCAAATGTTTGTGTTGATTAAACCCTAACAAATAAGAAAATAATAAAAAGACATTAGTTTATAAAAACAAAAAATGAATATTTTTCTTTAATAATGTCTATTTTATAATTATAATCTAAAAAAAATAACAATATAAAAGTATTTTTTATTACACAGTATTCAAAACTGCTTGGCGACTGGGCGAGGTGAGCCTCCAGGGGCGCCTTGTTGCCTAGGCATTGCCTTGACAACTATGGTTACAGGGATCTTTTGAAGAAAGTTAACTAGCTGACAAGAAATAAGGCAGTTAGGTTTCAGTGGGTTAGCAGATCGGCAAATGCAATGGCTGATTCTTTGGCTAAGGGGTATCAAGGGGAGACCTGTTTTGGGCTACCTTATAATTGTAATTCAGGCTAGTGTGTGTTTATTTGCATATTGTTTAGCTCCAAGGGGAGGTAACACCTGATGCATCCTCTTAGGCTGACTGTACACTCTTCCTTTGTTTAATAAAACTGCACTCATTTATCAAAAAAAAAAAAAAAAGTTTTGGCTGTTACTGATCAAAACAGATACCTTTTATGAGATTGACAGAACTCAATAAAAAGAGATCTGATCTTTTAAAGTGTGTTGTTTTATAGTAAGGATATATTCATAATTCATACTACTGTATGGTATAGTGCTCATTTTTTGTTATTCTGATATGCCTGTATGGTCGTTTCCACATTCTGGGCTCTGGTCCTGTTTCTGTTAACTGTGCAATTAGTTCCTGTCAACACATGATCATTAGTATAGATATTCTTTCTGACATTTTTCTTGCATTTTTGGAGTTCTAATATTTCTCTTGCTTTTCCAGGACCAGCCCAGAACTTCTGCTAAATCCTGTAAGCAGCTTCTCTCTCTCATATATATATATATATATATTATGAACAGACGTACTGTCATGTGCACATCAGATAACATAATTGGATTGGCAGGATTGTCTTTACACCATCTCTCATTTTGTCTTTTAATGTATGTTTTCAATTATTGAATAGAAGTTAAACTTGTTAACTCATTTTCCATGACCTATTTTACAAATTCAGTAGTCATATTTGCATGAAAAAAATGAACTTTATAATATTCATAAAAAAAAGAACTTTGTAATTGACCTGTAATATTATAGACCTCAGAACCACTTCTTTAATGTCAATAGAAATCTTTATTTGCTTCTATCCAAACTGTTCTCTGTTATTTTCTTGATCAGCAATAAAGATTGATTTGTTAATTAAAAATATATGGGGTTAAGTACATGATGATGACCCAAATGTCATCCCCAAGAACTACAACCAGAGTTACAAAGAGGCCTGATATAGATGCTGCCTTGCAGCCCCTTGTTTGGCTAAAGTACCTGCTAACCTGTTTGCATTCTCCTGATCCACCTGAAATCAGCATTTATATCCTTTGCCAATCTTTCCACCCCCCTGAATATTTGTTCATAGTTGTCAAGGAGTCACCTAGGTGGCAAGATGCCCTTGGGTGCCTCACCTGGATGCCTTAACTTATAGCACCAAGGCATCCTCAGGTGATAAGGTGCTCATATTAGTTGCAAAATACAGCTGCAATAAATCTGAAAATAGAATAAAGAAAGAAAGAAAAGAAGGAGAAGAAGAAGTTCAGTAGAAGCTTTAAGAAGAAGAGAAGAGAATGGAAGAAAAGAGAAGAGGAAGAGAGTTGTTCGATCCCCTCTCTCTGTCTCTAATTTTATTTAATATGTGCTGAAATAAACAATGTGTAAAGTTACATGGGTGCCCTTAGTTGGGAGGTGGACTAAAAACATAAAGAAATAAGTATTAAGGTCCATAAAGAAGGCTCACTGTAGAAGATAAGTGCTTATTTTGAAAATAAGCACTTATTGGAGAAGCTCAAATTTTTGGCTCATTTTCTTTCTAGCCTATCTTGGCCTGCCACGTCATTTTAAGAATACCTATACTACCCCTGTTTAAAATAAGTGTTTTTTCACCAAACTCTCATAAGTGCTTATTAGAATAAGCACTCCCAAACTTGGCCTAAGGCCCATTTGGCCCAATCTCTCTACACTCCCCCTTAGGGGTGCAAATGGATTGAATCATGATTCGATCCTATTTTGTCAGATTTGGATATCCCCATTTCGGATCTTCGGATCAGATAATAGGATCCAATCAGAAATTGGATCAAATTCAGATCACCCCTATCCGATCGAATATATATGTTATTTATTTATATAAATATATATAACACATGTATGTGTTATTTATTTATTTATGAGTATATTATTTATTGCATTTTTGTAAATTTGTTATATTATTTATATTTTTATAAAAAACATGTATATATATGATGAAAATAGTTGAAAAGATACTTTTATTTTGTGTTTTTCTTTATTTACACTGTTATATTTTATTTTTCTTTTAATAATTTATTAATTTAAAAAATTAAATTGGATTGGATTAGATCAGATTAGATCCAAAATTTTGACTTCCTCATCGGATTCGAATTAAAATCCATGTTTGTAAGATCCTTTCAGATCTTCGGATCAGACTGGATATGCTCTTAAGAGTATCGAATCGGATTCGGATATACCTTAATTCAAATCCGGTCCGATCCTTTTGCATCCCTACTCCCCCTCAATCTAAGCATAGATGTTAATCATGCCCATCTTGCTTACATAATGTTGTAGCTTTGACTTGGGAACTCCCTTAGTCAAAATTCTGCTAGTTGTTCTTCTTAAGCAATGAAAGGAAGACACACTTCCCTTGAGGCCACTTTCTCTCGTATGAAGTGTTTGCCTACTTCAATGTGCTTAGTTTTGCCATGCTGAACCGGGTTATGAGTAATGTTAATAATAGCCTGATTAACACAATATAACATCAGGGGCTTATCAAAAGCAATAGCCATCTCATCTAGGAAAGATCTAAGCCATAACAACTTTGAAACCCCATGGGCCATAGCCCTATACTTTGCGTCAACTGAAGATCTAGCTACTATTGACTGCTTTTTACTCCTCTAGGAAACAATATTTCCAGCTACCATAGTACAATAACTTGATGTGGATCTCCTATCATATGTATTACTTGCCCAATCAACATCTATAAAGGCCTCTAACTAAATATGACCATGCTTGGCAAATAGTATGCCCTTCTTGGGAGTGCCCTTAAGATAATATAGCTCCATTTTTGTAGCAGCCATATGTGTGTCTCTAGGGCATGCACGAACTAGTTAATTACACTCACAACATATGAAATGTTTGGACGTGTCATACAGAGGTAAAAAAGTTTCCCCAACATTCTCTAAAACAGTCCCCTATTAGTCAAAAGATCTCCATCATCAGCTGAGAGCTTTTTTTTGATCAATAACAAATTCATTAATTCATCATTAAAATAATTACAAAGAGGAAGACAAGCACTCTTATCTTCCAAATACAAATTAAGCCTTCAAAAGAAAAGAAAAGGAAAGGAAGAGACAATAAAATTACAATTTAGCCCAAAACATTGAGTCCCTTTCTACCCCTTGTTTAGCTACTYCATCAGCTAAAGAATTAGCTGATATTTTAACCCAATTCATCTTCACTTCCATCTCCCACACCAGCCACTTAAATTTTCTCCTCTCATTGCTGTAATTCCATAAGCCACTGTTATCTTTATTCAGCCACCATATCACCACCTCCGAGTCCCCTTCAATTATAAGCTTTCTGATTTTCATCTCCCTAGCTTTCTGGATTCCTTCCATAACTGCAAAAATCTCAGCTCTAAGGGAGTCACCCACTCCAATTGGGCCTGAGAACAAGGCAAAAATGACCCCATTCTCATCCCTAAAGACACCCCCAATCCCTGACTGTTCGGGATTCCCCCTACTATTCCCATCAAAGTTTAATTTTATGAATCCAGTAGGTGGTGGGGTCCAAGGCACACTCATTACTGATTTGGCCTGTGTACAGTTTGCAATCTCACTCCACTTCCTCAACATGTCATCTATTGTGTAATCTGTAAATAGCTTTAAGGATTTCAGCCATTGGACAACCCTAATATGGATTATAGCCCTTAGTTATTCAGCCCCTTTCTCCACTTCTGAGAAGATCCTGGAATTTCTTTCTTCCCATAATGACCAGTATACTGTAGCCCTCAATCCCCTCTACATAGTCCTTCCCCTTTTCATATGCCACCTGAAAAAGAAGGGGAGAAAAGACACTGCATGTCTGATGGAGGGTCCCAGCTACACCCAAAAAGAGAAAAGGCCCACTCCCAAATAGACTTTGCAAATTTGCAAGACACCAGTAAGTGGAAACTAGTTTCCCCCTCCGCTTTGCAAAGAACACACCAATGAGGTGACAAGCAAGCATTGAGTCTCTTCTTTTGGAGCAGATCACCAGTGTTTATTCTTTCCAGAAAGGCTTCCCAACAAAAACTACCAACCCTGGGAGGAATTGGTCTACACCAAACCTCATTAGCAGGGAAGGGGGGGGGGTAACAAGACTAGTGGATTGGCTTAAGAGTTTAAAGAAGGAAGCACAAGAAAAAGAGCCAGTGGGGGTCGGGGTCCAAATTCTAGAGTCCACTTTAGTGGGGTCTAAGAAGACATTATCAAGAAGTTCAAGGAGACTCGAAATACTCTCAAGGTCTGAGTCCCTCACCGCCCTTCTCAGACCTAGGTTCCACCTCGACCCAGAAATGAAAGGGGGAAGGGGTGATGAAAGAACATATTGGCTCAATTTTAAAATCAGATAAAGCATACAATGAAGGAAATTGGTCTTTAAGGGGAGCCATCCCCACCCAAGTTTGTTCCCAAAACTTTATGGAGTTACCTGAATTCAAATCATACCTGATAAAAAGGTGAAAACTGGTAGCAGATCATGAATGGCTTTCCAAGGAGAAGTGCTTGTGGACCTAGCTCTGATTCCAGCATCCCATCCATTTTGCTCCAGCCCATGTATGCTTGCCACTATTCTAGCCCAAAGTTTCTCCCGCTCCAATGGAAATCTCCACAACCACTTCCCCAACAGAGCCATATTCCTTTTTCTAATGTTCCCGAGCCCCAAACCACCACAGTTTTTTCTCCTGGTCACCACCTCCCAGCTAACTCTATGGTCCCTCTTCTCCTCTCCCGGCTCTTAGAGGAAATCTCTCATCATCCTCTCCAACCTACTAGAAACCTTCATTGGGATTTTGAATACTGACTGGAAATAAACGGGTAAATTTGCTAGTGTGGCCTTAATCTGTGTGTCCTTCCACCAAGAGAGAGGTAATTCTTTTTCCAAGAAGGAAAGCTGGATGGTGACAGATGGCTTTTCTTCCGTTCCTCTAAAGAGGAAGTGAAAACAATCTTGAACACAAGGGCTGCTGTAGAGGAGCCCTACTTCATCTGGAACCATGGTTAGAAGAAACAGAAGTGTGGAAGAAAGAGGAGGACATTTAAGGTTTCCTTTGGATCAGAATTTTTGGGTTGTCGTTGCAACTTTGCTGTAAAGAAATTGTGAAAGGGATAGGGGACCTATGTGGGGGATTCGTGAAATTGGATAATAATAAAATCTACAGAGAGTCCTTCGAATGTGTAAGAATCAAGGTGAGGTGGAATGAGAGTGCCTCCTCAAGCGGTTAATTTAGTGGTGGAGGGGGAAATGTTCGTGGTCACAATCTGGTCTGAAATCAAGATGAAGAAGATGAAGAGACCGTCGAATTTCAAGGAGGCAATGTTAATAGACCAACAGTTTGTGCAACAGGTGTTGTTAGGGAAACCTCATGCAAGCGAAGGCAGATCCCAGTCAGATATTTTTACAAGAGAAGGTAAAACGGAGGGTACTGTTACTGTGCAGGGAGGCAAGCAGGTGATGGAAACCCGAGTTGCCAAAACCTCTGAGGAGGGGGGCTGG